AACAGACACTCCTAGAATTCTACCAACATTTTCAAAAGTGAGAACGTTTCCCTCTGTACCCATGTGGTGGTGATTTTTCTTTTTTAAATTCTGTCTAACTTTAATTTATTGGCACTAATAGATGGGCACCCAGCAAAAATAAGGTAAGACAGTTGATAATCTAAAAGGTATTCATATTTGGCTTTGAAATATAGTGTTTGACTTAGAAAAATGCACTTGTGCATGCGTGTGTGTATCAGATTTACCTTCCTTATTTTTATTTTATCTTGTAATGAAAATTAGCTTAAATTTCCTAAGCTCACAATTGCCAAGAGCCTGTGGGACAAGAAGAACTGCAAACACAGCCCTCTGATCCTTTCTAGAGCAAGTGTCACTCCATGTCCTTTGTGACTCAGTCTTACCTGTACCTTTACATGGTACAGGTGAGACATTCTTTTAAATTCTAGAAAAGCTTTTAAATATTGGTGTTAGGTTTTTAATTGTTGTTGCTGTTTTACTTTCAAAAAGAAATTTATTGGTTCTTTTTTTTATTCTTGGAATGAAAGAATGATATTACCAGTACCAAAATCACATTAAAAACAAAACAAGCCTTTTTACCTAAAGGAATAAAGAAAAAAATATTTTCCATTCAATAGCTGACAAGCCTTTGGATTTCTGTTGCCTCAAGAACATGAAATATGGTTGATATTGTCCCTTTGCACTGTCCTTTTCCTTGCTGATGGCTGAGGCATGCCTGGTTTTTTTCCTGGATTAAGGAATTGGATCCTAAACAATAGCCAAATCTATTGGTTATTTTCTCAGAAATTACTAGCTTAAAATAAAATTTAAAAGTTTGAGAAAACTCACTGAGTCAAATTTCATTATCTTTCAATATAGCAAATTTTTTCTTTTAAATTTTTAACATATTTTAGTTTTGCTGGGCTTAAAATCTTGATACATATGTATAGAGATACTCATGTATTTATAAATGTATGTAAATAGTTTTTTTTTTTTTTTTAAGCAAGTACTTCTCTCTGGTATGAGATTATCTGGCATGAGACACTGACCAAAAATCTTTGGAGAGAGTCTTGCCTTGTTTACATTCTGCCATCTCCCTCTGAACACCAGGAAGACAGAGGGCATATGCGACTGTGCCTTCTTTGACCACTGTTGAAGTGTCAGGCCACAAAGGCAGCCTCTTCTGGTTTAGACATCTTCAAAGGATGCCCGAGACCCACATGTTGAGATTAGTGTGTCAAAGAATCACTAACCAAGCCCAGCAGGCTTGGTTCTTCAACCCAGTCTCGAGAAGAACAACCATTTCCATTAGCCACATGTCACAAGGACACATTAGAAATGCCCAATGGGAACCCACGTGGGAGTGTTTCCCTGCTTAAAGATGCTCTTCCCTTGGTCTTTGACAAAGAATACATTGATATGAGTATAAGCAAGGGATAAAGGGACACAAAGGAAAAGTCAAGGAACATTCCTTAGGCAGGATGAACCACAAAGCTATTGAAAGCCAAATTCTCTTGTTTGTGCCTCTCTACACAGCTTCCTGACTGCTGCCCCTCAAAGGGAGACCCACACGGTGGGAGTATGGAGGAGGTACAACAGACAACAGGGCTCTCTGGGTGGCAGATGCTCCAGGACTCTCCCCGGACCCTGCTTTGTGTTTTCTTCCCAGGATTGAGATGACACTTTACCCTAACCCCCACTCCCATGGGCCCACCCCAGGGCCAGCTGTGGTTGCACATAGGCTTGTCTATATGATTTGGTAGTTACCACCCTGAGGAAACCTGATCAACCCATTGCAACAAGAGCTGGGCTTCCCTTCAAGAAGCCCCTTTGGTGGATCTACTCACTGAGAGGGGATCTGGAACACCCTGATGGGACAGACTTATGGACTGGCCTCATCCCCAATAAGTGGTGGGAATAGGCCACTGAGCTTTCCCAGCAGTCACAGAAGATGAGCCCCTCACTGCTGGTGGCCCATGTCTGGGCTGGGTCTAGTGGATGTACCTCACTCACCACCTTGATCATGGTTGAGGCATAGGACATAGATGACTCCCAATATAAATAAAACTCATTGGCAACATGGTTCCATTTATCAACAAGATGCTGAAATACTTGAACATGACTTTTAACCTTTCCCAGGAATTTTCACAGATATGTGAATACTCCAAATCATCCACAGTGGTGAATTGACTCGAATGGCATGGGAAATGAGCAAAATTCTGAAGGGAATACTCAATAAATGAAGCACTCGACAAAAACAAGACATGAATTTAGACAGCAATAATTTGGAGTTATGACCAATGTCAAGTTGAATCTATATATGTATTCATATATTATATATATCTTTCTTTAGAAATGCAACTTTACAGCTGAATTTTAAAAAGCTAATAGAAAAGTAGAAACTGGCGATTATTTTTACATGTTTCCCCCTCCCCCAAATGAAGCCCTGTTAGGATGTAGCAATCACATGAAGATGAGGCTGTAAATTCCTCTACAAACTCTTTGGTGCTGTGGCTAGGGGGAGGATGTGCCACCAAGACCCCTACCCCCGACCCTTACTCCCTTCCCTCCCTTGATGATAAGACTCTGAACATGGAAGGAACCAAGTCTAAGGATTAAGAAAAACATTCAAGTGGCAATATCATTCCCCACACTCTGCTGAGCAGAGAGAAGAGAATCATTCAGTATCCCAACATCTTATATGTGGAGTCCATGGAACCTTCTGAGAGATTCCATGTTGGGGTAGAAAGCCATAAAACAAAATTAAAGGGAAACAATAAAATCAAATAAATGACCCTTTTCCTTTTGTTGCTCAGAGAAAACAAAATTGATTACCTTTACACAGATCAATGGTGCTATCAGTATTTTAGCCAGGCAAGAGGAGATAATGAACTGAAACAAAAGGGGTGAGAAATCCTCATCTTTGGTATTGTAGCTGTTGAGGTTTCTGTTGCTCTGTTCCGTGTTCTTTTGAAAAACTGCATAGGCACAAATTAAAGACAATCTTCAACTTTAAGATTACTGTGTGAGTTGTCAAATGAAGCAGCAGCGACGAGGCTTTCCCTATTCTTGTCTCAACCCTTTCTTTAAGATCTGCTTCCAAAAAATGTCCCAAGAGGTCTGTTTGAACACAGTGTGTCTCACTGTTTTTGCTTTTTTTTTTTTTTTTTCGGTTTTTGATTTTCTGGCGTGCTTCCTTCTTGGTGGTGGTGGTCTTCCTTGATTTATGTATTTACTTATTTTTTTTTTTTTTCATTTTAATGGGACAGTTTGGTTTCTTGCAGAAGTAGGTGCAGAAAAAGTTTCTTTGGTTTAGATTAAGTAATTCATAAAAAAGTCAGTCTCAAGTGTCTGTAAAGGAACATTGCAGCGTTTGGCTTGCTTAGAACACCCCCGGGGTGCACGCCTGGGGCCATTCACTGGTAAATATGCACATTGGGACCTTTGCAATCTCCCAGAGTTCTGTGGGCGCTCTTTCTTTGCTGGGGGAGGGTGACAGCCAGGAACCAGAGCTGGCGTGGCAAAGCCCTTCCCTGGGTGGCTTGGCTAACATCCTTGGTGCAGCCTGTCTGTTCAGCCTGATGTTGGCGAGCCAAATGCAAGAGCTGAATGCCATTCGGAGTTGCAGAGGTTTTCTGATTTCTAAAAGTAATCACAGTATTTTTAGGCTAGAAAATGGCAAGTAAGAAGTGTCTTTGGTATGCAGTATTCTGCTTCTTTGGTGTGCTGTGTTTTCTCCAGATTTTTTCATCGGTTTTGCAGGGATGCTTCAACAATGGATGAGATTGAGGACTAGATGACAGTTATGAGTAACACGTATGGTGTTTTGTTTTGCTTTTTTCTTGCTAGAAAACACTGAAAACATCTCTACCAATGGGATGGATGAGGGGACAACCGAAATCTGAAAGAGGAAGAATGAGTCACGTGGTGGTCATATGCACAATAGGAGGAACCAGATGACTAATAACTAAGAAGAATACATAATGACCTAAAAAAACTAGATCTTTTAAAATGCTGCATTTGCTCCATGTACCGTAACAGTTAAATTGGCCTCCTGAGTGTGTGTCTGCATTATGTACAAACACAGAATTTGTAGCAAACTGCAAAATGTGCTTGAAGCCATATTCCCAACAATTCCCCAATGACTTCACAATTGGCATCTTGAAAATCCAGATGTGGTGAACCCAGAACCATTCTCGCTTCTCTGTTTGTCTTCCTTGTGCTTGATACTTTGAGCTCAAGTGAACTGATTTGTTTTTTGACGGATCCAAGACCACATGAGACTTCCAGGAGGTAAGGAAAAGAAAATTGTAAACTGGATCAACCTAAAAGCTCCCCAAATCATTCAATGAAAAGATGCCTGAGTTGGAAAAACAGGTCCTTGGATTTTTTTTTTTAACTTCCATGTTTAAAATTTGTGCTCAGTAATTATCATTTTGATTTTTTTTTTTTATGTTATGGTTGTGAACGTTGGTGTGCTGTGATATGACGGTGCTAAGCAATTGGAAAGCACATGAGGTCAGTCTTGTTGCTAGATTCTTCTCTTAATGTAGCATCTTGGGAGCCCAAACTCAGAGTCCATACATTGGTCAAATTCCCATGTTACTCATGGGGATTTTGATGGCCAAGAGGTTGACAGGAGTCAAAGTGGGACTGTTGACATTTTAAGCAATCCTGAGCTTGGCTGACACCATACTGGAACTAACTCCCTACAGAAAGGCCTCATTTGCATTTCTGGAATGCTTAGCATGCTCAGAGGACAGTGTCTGGTTCAAAGAGATTACTTTTCAGCTTGCACTTGGACTCCACAGCCATTAAAAACAAAAAAGAACACCTGGCCTATGATTACAGCTAGAATAGAAGTTTCTCTTCAAGAGAATTGTGCTTTCAAATCACCAGTGAAGGGCCCCAGCTAAGAATCCGGTGTCTCTTTCCTTTGTGTTTTCTTTTGGTATCTGTTGTCCTCACTTGGAGGTGGCTTGTGCCCAATGAGAGTCCTTCCATCACGCTTTGGTACAAGTGCTGGAGGTGGATGAGGAGCCTCCTGTGCTCAGGTCATCTTGCCACTTCTCAAGGCTTCGGCGCCGGGCGTTCATGAAGAAGTTGCTGACGGTGGTGAGCTCCAGGCCCAGCTGCTGGGAAATGGTGATCTGCATCTCTTTGGACGGGCGTTTGTTCTCCTTGAAGATGGCAAAGAGTGTTCGGCGTTGGAGGTCGGTGAAAACCAGGCGAGATTTCTTCTGGGAATTGTTCCTGTCTTTGTTTGGTTCTTGCTCTTTGCGTTTGCATGCTTGAAGGGAAAGAGAAGAAGGAGAGGAGTCAGTAAAGCGTGAGAACCAACACCTGAGAAAGTGATCCATGGAAAACATTGACAGGGTCGTACAAGGGAATGTAAACCGTTAAACTTTATTGTGCAAATTGCCCAGCTGTCAATAACTGGCCTTCCCAGTTCATTTCCTGGTGATGGAAGGCATCTGTTGGTGAGGGGAGGGAGGAAAGAGAAAACAGCAGGGCTGTTTGACACCATCTGATTTTGAACCAACAGCAGTTGTCTTTCTCTCTCTCTCCCTGCCCCCCCAACACACCCTTAAGATTCTTTATCTCTGAAATCAAGTGCTGAGAAGGAAGTGATGACTCCAGGTCCCCAGGGTAACGTCTGGTTAGGCAGCCTCTCTTTCATATTCACCCTCTAGAATTGTTTACAGCTGAGGTGAAAATTACCTTCTGGAGTCAAAACTTAAAAGTGCA